TTGGTTCATTTTTGGTGGAGACCTTACTTTCATGGTTAGGAAGCTTGTAGGAGGGTGGGAGGCCAGCAACTGTTCTGAAAAGTCAGCTTTATTTCTTCATTGCTCTCCGTCGCCCGTTTTCCTCACTAAAAAGCTAATGTTGACCACCTTGGGGCCACTTTCTTCAGCCCTAAACCCCATATTTGTGTTGTACACACCTGGGAGGCCACCAATATTTGGTGGCCGACCAGCAATTGTTCTTGACCCTTTTGAACCCCTCTAAAAAGCTAGCTTTTCTCTCTCCTGGGTCACTGTTTTTGGTTTTTCTCTTCAGGGTTGTGTTGTGCTCATCTGGGAGGCCACCTTTCTGGGTAGGCCGACCAGAAATTGTGATTGACCCTTTTGACCCCTGGTCGGCCGACCAGGGGAGGTGGCTGGCCGGCCCCCTGAACCTTCTGAACCTGGTCGGCCAGAATCCTCTCACCTGGTTCCTTCCAACTGTACCCTCCGTTTCCCCCTAGATCCTATATCCGAGGGGGGTCTTTTGGGAGGGAAATTTGAATTTGATTTCCCCCCCCCTTTCCTTGCCTCTCTCCCTCTATAAGACCAGCACCTCTCCACCATTTCTAATGGTTGACAAAAAACCAATTGGAGCCTTGCATACATACATCCTTCATCTCTCTCATTCAACCATCAAATACCTTTGTTCTTGGACCATTTCTACGCCACCTCATAGCACCACACCTCCATACTCCATTCCAGCAACTTGGAGGTTATTTCCAGGGGTTAGGAGCACTATTTCTTCAACCAAAAGCTACTGGTTCATTGGTCTTCAAGGGTGAGTCCTCTCTCTCCCTTTTCTAGTCTTTTCTTACTCTATATCCAAGCCTTGCTTGCAAGCATTTTTGGGCTCCGACCCAAACTGTAAATAGTCAAATTTTGAGCCCCTTTTCATGTTTGATCATGGACCTCCTGCTGTTTGAGGTCTCCTACTACCACTTGCCTCTTTATCTCTCTTTTAGGCCAATTTTCTGCATAGTATTTTAGGCTTATTTGTGAGCTGTTTTGGACTTTTCCATAAATTGTGAAATATCTTTTTTTGAGCCCCTCTTCAACTTTGTTGAAGGGCTCTCCTCTGTTTGAGTACAGAAGCTACAACTTGTCTCTTTACCCCTCTTTTAGGCCTTTTCTTGCATGATATTTTGGGCCTACTTGTGATTATTTTCGTGGTTTGATGTAAACTTTAAAGTGCCTTGTTTTGAGCCCCTCTTCAAGTTTGTTGAAGGGCTATTTTCCATTTGGGGCCAGCTGCTGTCCCTTGTGTTTAATCTCTCTTTTAGGGCCATTTTTGCATAATAAATTAGCCCTATTTGTGTTCATTTTTTAGACTTGTTATAAACTGGAAACATGCATGTTTTGGGACTTTCTTGGCTCTGTCTTCATACTTCATAATCAAATAATGCATGTTTTGTATAGCTATAGGTCAGTGCATGTGCCTAGTTTTGTGTTTCGGGACCATTCCATGCACCGGGTGCCACGTTTCCATGTTTCGGGGCTGTTTTGTATCATATTCCAGCGCTGAAATTTGCATGTTTGCATACCATGTTTCATGCCTTGCCATGCTTTGTTAGAGTTGTATGCTATGCCTTAGGTCCGGTCCTCGGTTTGCGTGCACATGTGCACGCATTTTGATAGTCTCATTTTCACCTAATGGCTACTGGTGTGGGTGTGGCTGAGGCCCACTCATGTTAGTGTAAGTCCATTGTGCATTGTGAATGCCATTTTATTTCATAGCATTGCGTATGCTAGGTAGTATGTTAGAGTATTGTGTATGCCATGTTACATCATGCATTGTGTATGCCATTTCATAGCATTGTGTATGCTAGGTTGCATGTTAGGGTTGCATTCATGCATATCATGTATATTGCATTGTGCTTGGGATAGGAGTTAGCCCAAGCACCGGAAACGAGGTACGTTTCGTTCTCCGAGTGACGAAACGTGTCTCAATTCCCTGTCGCTGACACTTCGGATTATCCATGATGGAGTCTAGGTCTTGTTGTGTCCATATGTGTATTCATTTCATATTGAGTCGTGCAAATTGACTCCTCGGCCATCATGCATCAAGATGCGCGATTGGTGGCACGAGGATCGAGGACTACACTCCTTGAAGAGTAGTCATGCATACATATGTGAAAATACTTTGCCATGCCTCTTTGTTGCTCTCTGTTGCAGCAAATCAAGAATCAGCAGCCTTCCGGAGCTTGGCACGCATTCCAAGAACAATTACAAACAGAGACAAACCGAGGCATCGCGAGGGATTCTCCGCACAAGGCAACCTGAGCATGCATCATTCATCATCCGGAGCAGAGTCGAGGCAGTCCCTGGCTTGCATGCCAGTTTATTGCTTTCCTAATTTAATTTGTTAATTAATTAGGGTTTTGTACATATTTGGACTGTAATTATTCATTTGGGACTGTATATTATTTATTCGGACCCTCCGAGCGAGGGCACAACTGTAATAAGTGTGTGTGTGTGTGATGTATGTCTTCCAACCCCACGTCTTTCTCCTTTTTATTTATCCGCTTATGATAGTTAGATTAGGGCATGTTTCAATTAGCATACAGTATGATAGCATGTTTGCATTCATTCATCTATTTTGCATGCACCGGGCTCGGCACATCATACTAACTGCATTGTATTTCAATTCTGAGTTGAATACGTGTTAGCTGTAGCATTTCATATGCCATGTTTAGAATAGCCGAGCCTGCTATAGTTGCATTTTTGCATGTGTTGCATTAGGCATTTCTGTATAGTTAGGATTATGCATGGATTTCTAATTAGCTTCTGTTTTGGCTTAGAGTACTCGGTAAGTTTTATACTTTAGCATCCTTGCATGTGTGTGAGTGACTGCCATGATAGCATGGTTACCATGAGACTAATTGCTTATGTGATATAACTGCCTGAATGCCTGTGGGTGAAGGTTGGGTTATTTGAGTTGGAGCAATTCATTAAAATGTGTGTCTTAAGCCCACTAGATAGTGGCAAAATCATGTTTTCTAAAGCCCACCCGAGGGTGGCAAATCCACGTCTTAGCCTACTTGTGAGTAGCACCATCAAACCATTTTCAAAATAAACAAACATGAAGTGTTTTGCTCCAATTCAGGCGACCCAGTCTATACTTGTATGCTGCGCGCATCACATAGTAAATCTAGGCTAATAACCGGAATAAGAACACATAATGTTTTCAAAACTAGATATCATGGTTAGTAGAGGCCGATCTTTGATCGGGCGAGCAGGGGTGCTCACGAAGTGACCTTCCCCAATCGTACCCAAGTTCCCGAGCCGAGGCAACTTTGGTGATGACGGACACGTGGCCTTAGGCAACGAGTCAGGGTTTCCTAAATTTCTCCAAAATAAAACATTTAGGTGGCGACTCTGTATCTGGCAAAGCAGTCCATGTTTGGCACTTCTTTATAAAAAATCTGTTTTCAAAAAGACGATTTGCCGGATTTGGACTCTTTGGTTCAGATTAAGAACCGTGACAATTTGAGGGTCCGAGCTGTAGTGAGCCCAAAACGAACAGAACGGGACCTCATCCCTCCCGGGGCGTTCGGGGACGTCTACAATCAATTAGACCCATGTTGTCACATTCCATCCACAATTGGACGGAATGTGCTGATATAGAGGGCAAATTGATTTTTAAAGTATAGTTTGAGGGGCAAATTGATTTTTAATTTTTTTTTTGGGGGGGGGGGGATAGATTGATTTTTAAGGTATAGTTTGGGGGTAAAATGAAATTTTAAATGAATTTTAGTGCCACGTTAGCACAATCCATCCAATTGTAGACAGAATGTGACGACATGAATCAAATTGATCAAAAATTTGAAAGTTTAGGTATAAAATTGATAGTAATCAAAGTCTGGAGGTGAACGTGAAAAATACGTGATAGTTTGGAGGGGAAAATGATATTTCCTCTTTAAAAAATTTGTTCATTTTTTATTACACACTTTCATACAAAATGAATAATTTCTTTTAAAAAAATAAAATTAAATAAATAAAAAAGAAGAAGAAATCGTCTTAATATTTTTATAACTTCTCAAATCCTCAAGTTTGGTTAGTTTGGAGTTTTGCATCACTTTGTGTGCACCACATTAAGAATTGGGAAATCTCATTGGAATGTGGCAAAATTCTTTATTCTTTTTTTAAGGTGAGTTTAGATGTCTAATTTATATAATATTATTATTAAGAAAATTACAGTGGTAGTTTTTGTAATGGTTATTTTATTTTTATTTTTTTGATGTATTAATTTAGTCTCTATAATTCTAATTATAATATTATTATTCTTTCATTTTGCATTTTGTGTCTAAACAGGTCCAATTGATAACAATCATAAAAATTAATTACATTAATGGTGCTTATATAGTATCAAACACTTTAAAATACTTTTCATTTAGTTAATTAAATAAGTCTTAGGCAATAGTTTTCAAATTGAAATAAGGTTGCTTGAAAAAACAGTTAACCATGTGTCTAAACTACCCCTAAAATTACACCAACTACCCCATACGTCCAGTCCTATGATGAGAACGTAATTACATTTGGACTTTAAAGCCATTGATGTTGCAATCAAAATTTACCTAATTGGATCAAATTGCTTCTATATTTTGCTTGAACCACCAAAAGTTCTGTGATGACTTTTTTGTTCCATTTATTTATTTATTTTGATGGCTAACTCTAGCTGTTAGATAACTATGTTTTGATTAATATATTCAAACCCTAAGTCAAATTACTTGTCAAAACATTTTGGTTCTTATTCTCATGCAATCGCGCGACATGCGAGGATTTGTTTATATATGTAAGACCTTATGGAAAGGAATCGCATAACAAACACAAAACAATAGACTGTTTTATAAAACATTAAAAATAAAAATAAAAATAAAAAAACCCCACATTCTAAGGAGAAAATACAGCACTTCTCATATAAAAAGAGAGAGAGAGCTTATTCTCATCTTTGTCTCTTTTGTCTCTTCATCTTTTGTTTTGGTTTGGCAATGGCAATGGCTCGTCCTTTGCTCTTGCTAGCTTGTGCTTTTGCTTTTCTGGCTTCTTCACTCTCCTTTGCTGCAATTGTGGAGCATACTTTTCATGTAATCTATCCCATCTTACATATTTGCATGTTTTTTCAAACTTGTAATGTTAAATTTGGCTACGTATTGATTTCGTTTATGTTGTTTCAGGTGCAAAACTTGACTGTTCAACTATTGTGCCACCAGCGAGTCATTATTGCAGTAAATGGAAACCTTCCCGGCCCAAGAATACAAGTTCACGAGGGTGACACGCTCGTTGGTCATGTTTTTAACAAATCTCCCTACAATCTTACCATTCACTGGTAATATAGCTTTTCACAAATTAGACAAGGTGTGATAGTATTTTGTTATTTTATCGCAATTGAGTATGATAGTTACTGAAACTTTACACCAAATAATTTATATCTAGATCTTCTTCATTATCACCCACCCCTTTGAAGATGTACCTTGACTTCTCATTTATTGGATGCAATTTTCTCCGATAATTTTCTCCAAGTCTATTATAACATTATTTTTCTAGTCCCAACAGCATCGACAACTTGAACATATATTGTTTTTGTCAGACCCCAAAATTTAGACAATTAAATATTAAATTAGGACTAACCTCAATAATATTCCATCATCCAAATCTTAGGAGTGAAACAAAAAAAAAAAACAAACAAACAAAAAAAACTAAACGCCAACCAGACCATCCATCATAATTTCATAACTATCAAATATCTCCAACATTAAAGTAGCAACAACTAGTCAAAACAACTTAAATAAAGTACGGTTACAAACCATGCCAAATTATTCCAATACTAAAGTCATAAAAAAAATAATAAATACATAAACTACTAACAACCCTAAGCTCAAAAAAACAAAAGAAGTCCAAACGACATGCCCTACGATCATAGTTATTTCTTGTCACCACCATAGCCTCAACTAATCCTGCAAAGAAAACTCAGTTGCGCTCAAACAGAACGCACCCGAGTTGCCAAGAGACAACACGGGTCAGTATACAGGTATACTGGTATGAGTACAAGATTCAACACCCACGTGTCCACCAAACACAAACAAAAATACATTAAATTCTTATTACGAGACAAGACAAGTAGTTCCAACCACACCGGCCGAAATGTAGTTCCACCTCCGGTCAGTATGAAGGTTTGGCCCGCAAGTTGAGGCAAACCAGACAGCAGTTCACTAGTGCTACGTCGACTCAGGCCGAGCAGACCAATGGCCGAAATGTAGTTCCACCTCAGCCAGTGCCGCAGATTCCCCCGCAACCAGCCTTGTATGGGGATGGCACGATAGCTTTGATCAGGGAGTTCAAGAAGATGAGACCACCGAGGTTCTCTGGGGGTATAGAGCCGATGAAGGCTGATAACAACAAGAAAGGAGAGAATACCTCGGGTTCCGTTCAGAAGGGAAATGCTGGGAAAGGACAGATGAGACAGGGTAGAGTGTTTGCGTTAGTACCAGGAGACACTCAGAATGCTGAAACAGTGGTGTCAGGTATACTTCTAATTTGCTCCCAAGATGCCTATGTGTTGATTGATTCAGGTTCTACTCATTCGTTTATATCTACTAAGCTTGCCACTCATTTATGAAGAGGTCTAGAGCCCCTTGATTATGTGTTATCTGTATCTACTCCATCTGGGAGATCTATGTTTGTTGCATCCATTTACAGAGCATGTGTTGTTGTGATTGAGAATGTTGAATTGCTAGTAGATCTAATGCCTCTAGACCTAGCTCATTTTGATATTATACTGGGAATGGACTGGTTAGTTGCAAACGATGCATCTATTAATTGTGTTTCGAAAAGTGTCACACTGAGACCCCCAAACCTAGCCGGGATTATCTTCCAGGGTAAAGGGATAATGCCCCCACCATACTTGATTTCGTCCATTAAGGCCTGTAAGTTAATTCAGAAGGGGTGTCGAGGTTACTTGTGTAGTATACTGAGTGATCAGAATGGAAATGTTAACTTAGCCGACATCCCGATTGTTAATGATTTCCCCGACGTCTTTCCAGACGAATTGCCTGGCCACTTGACCGATAGAGAAATAGAGTTTACTGTCGACATTATATCGGGAACACAGCCGATCTCCAAAATACCTTATAGGATGGCCCCCGCTGAACTTAGAGAATTGAAACTGCAATTGCAAGAGTTGTTAGATAAGGGATTCATCAGGCCGAGCACTTCACCATGGGGAGCACCTGTTCTATTTGTTAAAAAGAAGGATGGCACACTCCGTCTTTGTATTGACTATAGAGAACTCAATAAAGTCACCATTAAGAACAAATACCCGTTACCTAGAATTGATCATCACATTGACTCGTCATCTACTGCATCAATAGAAAATGAATAACAACTTTGATTATTATTAGTATAAAATGTTTGGATTACCATATATAAATATGACATATACATAGAATCAATAAATCCAAAATGAAAATCTTCAATGTATGAGCAGATATTTTAAAGTCATAAAACCAAATATACATAGAATCAACAAATCTAAAATGAAATCTTGAAGTGATTATATATTCCTTACCAACTAAAGAAATTGTTGATTAGCAATTTAAATAACGGAAGTTATATCATACTTACATTGGATTTCAACTCATATTCTTTAGTACGAAATTAATCCATTCAACTCGCACTTCATCAAGTTCGGTTTCCGTGTAAGTCTTTTTTCCATTGAATTGCAAGAGGTTATTTACAAACAATTAGATAATATGAAGAAGATGTACAAGTATCATGAATATAATAGTAATAAAAGTATAGAATTTATCTCACATTTTGTTTTCCAGCTGTTTTATTGTCACTCTGATCAGAGTAGGGGACATACTGCTGAGTTTGGTGATCATAAGACGGAGAGAATTATAATCAACCTTTTTGGAGCTGAACCAATCGATAACGCCACGTGTCCGAGCTGATTGTTAAGGCAGCCGGCAGACCCTGAAACAAATCATTTTCTTGTCTCAAATCTTTGTTTTAGAGGAGAGGCTCTAGAGAAGAGGAAGAAGAGTTCTTGAGTGAAGAGTAGTCTTCCAAGCTTGATCTTCGTGGCTTGAACCGTTAGATTCGAGCTTTGGGGTAAGATTCTTGATCTACTTTGAATGTTGTTATGGATTATCTAT